AAATCTTTGAAAACGGGAGCTTCCGCAGGATATAAAACGCTGCGGAAGTTCCGAGAAATGCCAGTGGTTCCGCAGCAATTTGGCATGCCGCTACTTCCGCAGGTTTTTAAATGTGTTGTCTCTTACGAAAAGAAAGGCTAATGATAGTGCACATTGTCGAGCATGTCTTCTTGTTAATGCAGAGGATAGTGAGTGAGTCTAGCAGTAATTATAGTGAGGCTCAGTTCTCGCTCAGGTGTTCTATTTTGCTGTTGGTTCGCATTCCTCGGAACTTTCGCAGCACCTCATATGGGAACTTCCGCAGCACGTTCATGGGATTGTGCAGGTGACTCAGCGGAACTTGGGTAACCATTCTTGAATGGTAACAATATATACCCATCAGTATTGCGGTTGAATAAGAACACCTCGTTTTGCCCAGAGCAGTAAACATTTGCAAGCAGGATTTATCACACTTATAAAGGAGAGTTCGCGTACAATGCGACAAATTTGGAGCATTTATATGGGCAAAGACTTATAACAGAGTACTTAGCATACTATTATGCGATGCGCGAAAATCGTCATTACTAAGCCGGTTTCTTCGCATCGCCTTTGTCACATTCCCTTGGTTCCCAAATGATAAATGCCTTGCGCAATCTCCATCGCTATCACTTGCATTTTCATCAGGCTAGGTAAGCTAATGTGCAGTCATACTACTTTGATGCTACCATGATTTTCTTTCAGTTCAAAGCGGTGCTGTAGGTGATGAAGGGACATTAGCAAGTGTGCCTTCCGATCCATTCGACACAAGGGAGAGAAACAAGTGAGAATTGAGCCCATCGGAATTTTTAAGAATTTATTGATTTTATTGATTCTGCAGGCGCCCTGCAAGAAGAAGTGAGAAGAATGAAGAAGCACCATCAACGAAGAATAATTGGGGTTTCGGCGAAGGGCTGGTAGAAGTTAGCTAATCTCACAGTTTGTTTATTGACCTATTGATTGTCTGCAAAGCACACCCTTTTTAGTGGCCAGAAGAGGACAACGAAAGGAAAGAGAAGATCCCAAAAAGAGTCGAAACAACTACTCCAGAAAGAGTCGAAACAACTACACAGTACTATGAAGAAGTCGATCCCAACCATAACGGTTTATTAAAGGACATTGGATCAATAAGTGAGACTACATGTTGTCCGATGCTTTTATTTGATAAACAGAAACAAGCATTGATTTATCGATTTGTAATGAAGAAATGTGCCAGATGTCGGATTTGGCGTTGGTGTTGGTGTGCCCGGTAACGATCCAGTGAGTGTTGGAGCCAGGGTAAGTTATCGATTTAAATTTTTCTCATAACGGTTTATTTTCTTAGGGAATGAAATAGCAGATTAGTGTTGGTCAGTGATAGCGTATATACGTGCTCACAACGCTTACGCGTACGCATCGACCACTTACGCGCAAACATTGCTCGCAGTGCAGCATAGCAATTTCTTCCACGCAAATGTTGTTTGGCAATGC